GTTGAATTTGGAAATTGCTGTCTGAAATACGCCGGTAAACGTAAGTACCGAAAAAAATGTTGTCAGCTTGTGTTGAATCCGCTCTAACACAGCTCGTTTTTTGCAAAGGTTGTTCCGTCCTCAATTTTTAGCAATTTTATTTCTCCCTGTTCCAAGTTTGCCCTTTTATTCATCTAAAACGTTTGATTTCTGCTATTCTTGCGTAATAATTTTTTTTCATGTCGTCTGATGAGAAATCGGCATTCCCTTCATCTCGCAGCGATACATCACGCAATATAGCTAATATCTCATTAATGCGATAATAACTTTGTTTCCTTATTTATTTTTATATCTTTCAAACAGAAAGAAGCTGCACCTGTCCCGAAGGGGATGTGCAGGCGGGTACCTCTCACTTGGTTCACTGTTCTCAAATGTCCACAGCTAAAATCACTTACATTGCCTCCCACGTTTGTTTTTTTTCTTCTTTTTATCATGCGGCTTTGATTATTGATGCAAGCCGCATACGCTAACATTAAAATCGTTAACTCAATCGAAGTCTCCACCATTTGATCACGTGGGGCTTCTGCCATCTTGTATCTGCGGCAGGCACGTAGCCAGGATTTTGTTTCGGGGGGGGGGGGGGGGGGGGGGGGGGCGCCCATGACAAAATGCTGAATGAGGGGAAGGGGGGAGAGGAGGGTCCCAGTAAAATGGAAGATTTCGGGGGGGGGGGGGGGGGGGGGCCCGAGCCCCATGGGCTGCCCCCCTGGCTACGTGCCTGATCTGCGAATCAGTGTCTTCTTCACTACACTTATTTTTACACTATACGTATAACATTTATTTTATTGGTATCTGGTTTATTTAGTTATGGTCTATCGAGAACAATTATAAAAAGAAAACTTTCCAATATGGCTGGGGGACATTAAACACTCTAAGAAATGCCTGCGCGTCTACTTACCAGCAAAACACTCGAAGAGCCAATCTCTGCGATCTACGAAATCATCCCAGCGAATGTTGAGGCGGAACATCCGTTTAGACCTAAAAATTAAGTCTGCGTTGTGGCGTTACGAAGTGCAAAGCGTCATGTTAGCATTGCGTAATGCCACAGCGCAGACTTCATTTTGAGGACCAAAGAGATGTTCTGCATCATCATTCGCTGAGCTGATTTCGTCGATCGCAGAGATTGGCTCTTCGAGTGTTTTGCGGGTAAGTAGACGCGCAGGCATTTCTTAGAGTGTAGGCCATGATGATATAAACTCGAGCTTTTATTTGCATGGGCGGAATATAAATAGGGATACCGGGTCACGGAATAAAAAGGAGGAACCGTCGCTGGCTCAACTTGAACTTGTTTATTTCCGCACTATTGTGCTAAGGGCACCACAAGATTGCTTTTTGGTGTCAACGCTGATAGGCGGCCCCCCAAAAATGTCCCGGAAAGGTTAACCATTTGTGGATAATCCCCTAGCGGCAATAGTGCGCAAATCTCGCGGGCCAGCTCAGAGAAGAGTTTTCCACACACGTATCAAATTATTTATTTTCAATAAATCAATTCAAGGTCAACAGGCGTGTATGCCTAATCAAGCAACCAAACACCCGCCTCACGCAAAAAAAAAAAAATGATAACAGAGTTTTTTTTATGGACTTAAAAGCTTTTTTTTTTTGTCTACAACACCTAGGACCCCCTCGTCTTGGCTGTCCTGGTTTCGTCCCATGTCACAGTCTTTACTTTATTGTTTACGCCCTCTCCCTCTTTCCAACGGAACTGCGTCACATACTGTAGTCCCTCTCATCTCCCCGATTATACGTCTTCTGCCATCCGCTTTTAGTATGCCCGAAGACCGTAAGTTCGAAATGTCGCGTTGTTCTTTCATTTCGCACGATTTTTCACCAACCTCCCTATACTACATGTGTATGTAAATACACATAATTCAACTTAACTTCAAAGCGTCGCTCAGTTTTAGCATGAGAGTTGGTTACGCATATCAACAGATCAAGAGGCGAGTCGACTAAAATCAATTGCTGGGCTAGTTGGTTAAAAATCATATAGTATACAATAGCGCAACAGACCAGGGACATGAAAAGGACAGGAATGGAGAAGCGCTTGTCCTGGCCTGTCCTTTTCATGTTGCTCTCCTCTTGCGCCATTGTATATATGATAAGAGACGACCTTTTTGGTATTACGGTATTAAGAACGTCGATAGGTGAATTTTAAGTAAATAGTTAATCACATTATTATAATCGTGTTCTAACGTTCGCCGTACCAAAAAAAAATGTTATTCCTAAAAAACAAAACGGGATAAGTTTTTTTTGCATTGTTGTAGGAAAATTTATATCCTCCAAAGTATTTTTTACGGCTCAGGATGTAGTCAATTACATCGTATATATATCTGTCTATACACAATTGCTACGAATAAAATGGTGAACAAAAAACCCTGTTTTATTTTGCCACCCTACGTCGTGCTATGCAGAAAACGTAACTCGTTCTCTGTAATGGAGGATGAGGTGTCCTATTAGGGTATTTCGACACCCCCGACGTATTTCACGATTAGGGATGGCGCACACTCGAGCACGCCCGTCTCATTTCGAGCCGAGGCCATCGGGGTCAAACTCGCTTCGAGGCATCACCGCAGAGAGCCATCCACCTTCGCTTCCCCGGCCGATAGAGCAGCCGATTTGCCGCGCGGTAAGCGATTCTGTGGGCGAGCAGTCCATCCGGGGCCGCCGGTGCAAATTAAACCTTTTCGGGCGTGCGCCACGTGGCAGGTATCCGACTGGGCCAATTCTCTCGCAAATAAGGCCCCTTCCTTCTCGGGAATGAATGGCCGCCCCTTCTCCCGAGTCGGGGTTGGTTGGTCCCCGCGCGGCTGCAATCCCCGACGGTGGCGCGTCCCTACAGCTATAACTCTGCTCGGCCCTAAGCTGGCAGTGCGGTGGGAACTATACGTGATCTCCGGACCAATGAACCACCTCCCTCTCATCGCCGGACTCCGCTCTCTGCGCTTGGGTACGAGGTGGAAGTGCGATCACGCGGTGAAAGGCGGACGTACGATTGGTCCGACGGGCTCGTAGCTTCCACCGCACACTCAGCTCAGGGGTTGAGCGGAATCGTTCGAGGCGGGAACAGCGCCGCCGCCATCACTTGCGCCCCCATCCAAGCATAAATCAGAGATGTCGCGGCACCCGGTCTCGAGTAATGCCGCGATTATCGTGGAAATAGCACGCGCTCACTCGCTCACTGCAGGGCGCCTTCTGTCGACCCGACAGTGAGGGACCATCTTCGGGGACCGTGGCCTGATTGAACCGCGGGATTTGCCGCCGCTGCAGTTTCTCGGTTCCTTGTTTCGCGCGCTTGGAGGTGTGCGGACGGTGTGGGTGTACTTCTGAGGTTTTGGAGGACTTAACTCGTGGTTTTGGAAAACAGGGTGTAGTCTGTTGCAACATAAATCCGCATTCACACTCTGCTCATTTATCATACAAGAGGCACGGTGTTGGGAGCAGACGTGATGGAAACCTTGTCTGCGGACACGCCTCGTGCATGTTCGAACATGTCTGCTTCATCTACATATCTATGGTTGGAACATGTCTGCAGACAGTTTTTGTATGACCATTGTGACACGAACCGTCACACAAGGAGACACGCCTCAGACAGTTCCTGCACACTGTCTTTTACAGCGGAGCTGCTAGGGGCTAGTTTCCCCAGGATCGTGTCCCCCGCAAAAGAAACGTCGACACAAAACTCTGGTTGCCGCCGTCGCTCATAGATGGCGGTAGCTGTCCAGAGTGTTGTGTTTGCCGGTTGTCTGCTTTCCGCCGTCGCTCATTGATGGCGGCAACCTTTCCAGCCTTTCCACTCGGGCTGGCCGATTTGCCGCCCGGCCATTACTTCATTACCACCATGGTACAGCTTCGCTGGTCTTCCTTCGGCAACAGAGTGGAAAGGCTGAAAGTTTTGTATGATGCATTTGGTGTGTGACCGCGGGTTAAAAACTTAAAAAAAATCCCTGTTCCCCCCCCCCCCCCCCCAACCCCGCCCCCCCCCCCCCCCCCCCCCGCCAAAAAAAAAAAAAAAAAAAGAGCGCTCCGTTTGAAGCGTAACTTGCCGGGGCGGATTGGGCATTAATCGGAGCTCTGCTACCCTGAACGCTAATCATAAAAAGGGCACCGAAGAATGTTTCTTCCTCTCCGTGACGCCGGAAAAATGGTAGGTTCGGACTGAGTGGAGAATTTACTGACACCATTTCTTTCAGGAACCCTGAGCTGTATCGATGCTTTGAGTGAAGGGACCTCCGTAATCTTCGCGCGAGTTGAGAAGGTGCACTCTGAGCCGTATCGAAACTCTGAGGACACCTCCGTAATCTTCGCGCGAGTGCATGGAGAGGGTGCACACTTGCTTATCTCAAATGTAGACTCGCACTATTTCAGTCACGAGTGTGGCGAACGCTGTTCGTTTTGGAAGTCGCGGGATATTCGCGGGTACCGAAAATCCCAAGCTTCTGTTCACCGTCACTAGACGGCGCATGCATCAATTCATCATGTGTGTGTCTGTTATTGGCTGCCCTTCGGAATCAATAGCGCAGTGAAGCACCAAACGGTTTTGTCGCTAACAAGCGTCAAAGAGCGTGACACTCTGGCAGCACCCCATGGCGACGAGAAAAACGAAGTCGAAAAGATCGTGTGAATTGCTTATGCAGCGTGAACCATCTTGAAATCAGACCAGTTGCGTCTCTACTGTCGAGAAGGGTAATTTGACGAATCCAGTACACCTGCTAACCTGAGGTGAGCTCTACCGTCCTACATTCGCCTAATCGCCGTGCACTGAAGAGGCGAATTTAGGCCGGTACAACGCACAATGGGCATTGCACTCGTGCGGTCCGCGCGATTATCATGCGCCATCTTTTGACACATACAATTGAGGTAAAAACTGCACCGAAAACACGACGGAAGGCTACAATCGCATGATGTCACCGGCCTGGAGTTTCGCCTCGTGTTTGGTTTTTGGAAAAGGAAGAAATGAAACTTACTTTGATTCGAAGACGTGGCTCGGCCATTGGGATCTGCAATCAAAACGAAGACAACACGATCAGAGTTGCTTAACAAGCGCATAAATATTTTATAACAATGTTACAACATGAATCAAAGAAGCCCTATAGTCACTGACAGAATAAGAACGGCAGGGAAGAGTTTATATTTTCCTGCCTCCAGCGCAAGCTGCCTAATTTCGATAACACTTCGGCGTCTGCAATTCCTCGAGCGTGCACGCGAAGCGAAAGCACGACGGAAGGCATGGGGAGCCCGTGCTGGAGGTCGGGCTTCCGAAAGAGACGGCTTGCCGTTCTCATCCTTTCAGTAACTATAATTGAAAAGGGGAAGAGAGAAGCTTGTGATTATCGGATGTCATATGTGCCCCGATGACCGAGGCTGCAGTGCGCAAAATGCGAAGGAGGGAGACAAAAGAGGCGCAAATACGAAGTAAGCGTGGCCGAAACGGCAAAAGTTTTCACACTTTCTCGGCAGCATTGGATTACTTGGCGGATACACACCCCGCTCTGCTCCCCCCCCCCCCCTTCCCTCAGGGTGTACTTTATAACACCCATCAAAACGGCGTGATCCTGTGGAAACTAAAGAAAGAATCGGCAATTTGTGTAGACTGATTTCATATAATGGAGTGACCTAATCGTCGGGGATCAAAATAATTATCCTGCCTTCAAGAATCTCGTGGACTAAAAACAAAAAGAAAAAAAAAAAAAAAAAAAAAAGAAAGCGAAATTCACGACGATAGCTGAAGTGCCCGACACAAGATAGAAAGAGAAGCTTGCAATGCGGTGGCGCCATCTGTCGCATCAAACCTAAACTGTCAGACGCTCGCTCCTTCTCTTCATTTAATCCAGCGAGGAGGGAGAGGAGAAAGTAGCGGCGGTGGTGTTGTGGTGAAAGTGTCGTTTCGCTGGGCCCGTGGTTTGCTATATCATTTATATGGCAACTGTGGGCCACTCCGACAATGCAATGAAAGTGGATACAGAAAATGCCTCATATGAAGATTTTCAACTTATGTAGCCAGGCAAACGGTCAAAAAGTAGTTCCCGTTTTTTTTTTAAAAAGACGCACTGCAGACTTGGTCTTTTTTACCACTGTTTTTTTTTTTTTTTTAATTGTGAGGAGTGCTTGTCGCTCATTTTTTAATGTAATAATCCCCGAAAAGAGTGCAGGGTACAGCATGTTTTCTTTCATTCCAAATTTCACAGTGTGATTCGGCAGTCTGGCGGCCTAGAGAAACAAAAATATATGCAAATGTAAACAGCTCGAGAAGAATCTTGGCTTAAGAACTTAAAGTTGTTGCGTGGCTTTTGGAGAGTGAGATGTAAGTCTACACTAAAAAGGCGTCTTGCGTCTCCTCTGTTCATCGGCAAGTTGACTTGTGCAGTACGAATGCCGACTAGGGTCTTCAACGCGCATTACTTAGTCTTCAAAGCGCGATCGCATGCCGCGGTACAACGACTACCTTATGGAAAGCGACTGTACTGAAAAAGAAAGCTCATGTCTCGATTCTGCAGAGGGAGCCTTCGCCTCACGCGCAATCGAGCAGTGCGCCGCGCGCTTACAGACGAACTAACATCTAAGTAATCTTTTCGACGAACCGCTGATGTTCTTGATGAACCCGTCTGCAGAGAGCAACACGATACGACAATCGAGTTCTTGCTAAGGCCCCGTTTTAGGCCTCGCTTTCTCCTTCTTTTTTTTATTGTTATTGTTACGATTATTCAGTCGTTACCAACGTCTGTAAACGTCACGAGGATTTAATTACCAGCCACCAACTGGCTGCTGCCTCTCACTCGCGCAAAGTCTCCGCGCCATTTGCAGCCAAAGAATTTTCTTGAGCAGGGTACGAAGACGGCCGCTATTAAGTCTCGTATAATCACCAGACGGGCGCAACAAAATGTAAACAGCGCTATTAAAAGAAATAAAAAAAGAAAAGTAAAAGGAGAGTTGACTCGGCGAAAGACCCCGAACAAACAAGTGAAGGTCCAGTAGCCGCACAAAGCAGAGCGGGAACGACACACTGTCTCCATTCGAGTGAAGGTGAGCCAAGTTCAAGGTCTCCCCGGAGCTGCCGCGGTTCCCTCCGCCACGAGGACAGTCCCACGGTGGCGAAAACAATGGCCTGCCCGGGGAAGACGCTTTCACTTTCGAGCGTCAGGGGGCACCGCTTGCTTGACCCTTCAGCGTCCGTAAAATAAAGATAAAAGAAGGGAAGCCCCGCCATAGCCTGACAGGGTCTACTTAGGCACGCTAATAATAATTCCTATCTGAGACAATTCCACAGTCCATCAAGCCGCGGGGTCAGGAGGGCCGCCGAGTTTCGTTAAAACTTTTTTTTTTTGTTTATTTATGTGATCTCTTAATTTTTTTTTTATTCCGAGAGCCAGGAGAGAGAAAGAGAGAGAGATTGAGAAAGAGAAGTGCTATTGTCATTCAAAGTCGTCGCTCGACCGCAGTTGCTGCTTATCGGAAGACGGGAACTGTCTCCAGGCGGTGCCAAGGGCAGGGTTACGGGAAAGGATAGGAAACGACCTTTGTTTTATTCGGTTCGTTCGCATTTTAGCTGAGCACGTGAGAAAAAAACAGTTTCTTTTTCTTTTCTTACTGGTGTCGTTGTTGTAGCTCTGTGACTTCGGTAGGAGGTTTACATAACGACCACTCTCTCTATAAATAAACACACGATTAACCCTTTATAAGGCGCGAGCAGACTTTTATTAGTTCACTTATTTTTATATCATAAATGCTTTATTGAACAAGAAAGAGAATGTTTAAACTAATTTACATAGTTCTGCAACAAAATTTGGAGGCACAGTTGGTGGGACAACATATGTCCCACTACCCTCTAAGCACCATAAACAGAAGTGGGACAGCCTATGTCCCATTGCCCATGAGGGACATTGACAAAAAATAACGAGTGCACTCTATTTGCGTTCACTTGGACAAGTGAAAGGAGGAGAAGCACCCAACACACAAAGGAACGTCGCAGCTGCTGCACACATATCTTGTGCGGGCTTCCTTGCTCTTCGTGGAGCACCACCGACACCTTCTCCTCTTTGCATTCTCTTGGGGAAAGTGGTCTCTTCCTTCAAGACGAATTTCGCTCGGCACTCCAGTAATCAGAGACCTACGGCGGCGTCCCTGTTTTCTCTGGAAATGCACTTGCGACTTTCTAGCAGTGCGAAAAGTATGTCTCTTGATCAGTTGTCGCCCGACAAGCACCTTGAAATGAAGCAAAGCCACATCGTCGTCACTGTGATATGCCGTGTGTTGCACAAAGGCATTGACGATTGCTGCATCGACAAGAAAGTAAAAAATACGATGCCACCACTTCTTGGACCGTCGATCAACCGGATAGGCATTGCGCGTTTGGTCGAAACAGTCTACGCCGCCCATCCAGCGGTTGTAGTCCTTGACGGACATCGGGCATGTAACTTGAACTTTTTTTCCACAGGGAAGCTTCCTTTCCATCGAAGCTTGCTCTTCAGGGTCATGAAAATTCGACATCATGTGAACATTTTTTGTGTCTCGCCATTGGTAAGCCGACACTGGCCCTTTTGATCGGTAGAGGTACTCTCCACGAGAAAGCTTGTTGTCGATTTTGACTTCTGGGGGCAGGTCCCGTTTGTTGGTCCTGAATGTGCCACAGGCAAACACTCCTCGTTCTCGAAGTTGCAGGAGCAGTTTGGTTGAAGAAAAAAAATTGTAAAAAAAAACTTGGGATCCTCCCTCCACTATATCCTCCGTCAGCGAAAGGACGACGTGTTCCCCAAGAGTCTGATCAGTGGATCAGATCCGCTGCGTCCTTGATATACTTCAAATCGGCAGAGATAACCAGTCTCACTGTCGGCGAGGCTCCACACTTTGTACCCCCGTTTGATTTTCGGTTTCATCGGCATGTATTGTTTCATTGCCGATCGACCCTTGAAAAGAATCATCGACTCATCAACCGCGACATGAGAGGACGGGCTGTATTCTTTTCGGAAATTCTTGTTGAGGGCTTCGATAAGAGGTCGCACTTTATAGCACCTGTCATATCCTGGCGAGGTCCGCTCTGGTTGCTGCGTGTTGTCATTCAGATGTAAACAGCTTGTGATTTGTTGATACCGCTTGAAGGTCATCACTCGAGAGATTGCCTTCACATTGAAGAGCTGATCTGAGCTCCAGTACAGGTAGACTTGGGGCAAGGGATGAATACTCATAAGAATGAGCATGCCTATGTAGGCTTTGAGCTCACTCACTGAGAGTGGCTCCCAGTTCGCTTTTCCTACCTGATCAGCGTACCGGTTTGTCTCTGTGACAATGATTGTCCAGACTTCTTCATCAAAATAAAGAGTAAACGCGTCAAATGCACTGCTATCTGCGCTTAGGTTAGGAGAGCATGTTGGAGGTTTTTCAGTGACCTTTTCAGGAATGTCTTGAGGTTTTCCAGCTATCCAGTTCATGGACGGTGATGGTATCCCATTCACTTCGCCGTTCTGACTAGCATCTGCTTCAGGCTGGACAGGCGTCTTCTTGCTACGTCTTTTTCGCTTGTACGTCTTTTTTGGCCTCTTCGGTGCTTGTTCGTTCTTATCATCGCTCTCTGGTGACTCTGCTGGAGCCAAAGCTGATGTTGAGGGCATTTGAAAATCGTCATCCGAGTCGCCGGACGCGTCACTCGCCGAGTCGTCCGGAAGGCTAAAGAACAGTTCTAAAGCCTCCTCGTCAGTGAGTTTTCTTTTTCCTAGAAAGGGAAAGCACTAATATATTTTCTGACATTAAATAAAAGCTATGGCAGCTATTGAAAACAAAAAAGTCGCAACAGCAAGAACGACGAACCCCCTAAGAACATTGGTTGTGTTGCTAAGCCTAACGAATTCACACCTGCTTGTACATCATCAACAATATAAACCCATGTGCCATCTAAAACGAGCTAATACTTCCCTCACCTACTCCTTACATGCTTAGGAAGACGTAGAACGTACAGGGCAACTTACTTGACATTTTGGGACCAAGTAGTGTCTTCTGAAAAATGAGC